TCCGCGTTACAATGTGTATCGCTCTTATAGTTTTATTCTTTGTAACCCCAAATAGTTCCGGCACCTCAGAGGGCCCCGTGGTGGGACAGTTATGGGACCATTTTAGGTCCCTCCTCACCATCTTGTCTTCCTTATATTGTACAGCGCTGCGCACACTGTTTGCGCCATATAAATCCTGTATAATAATCCCCGCAGAGCTTCGGCTTAGTCCGGAATCTCAGGAAGTTGCTGCTGGAACCCTCCCGTCCATTGGAGGACCCGGAGCTGGTCTTGGACACAACGCGGTCCTCCCTGTAAATGGGTCCCATGCCTCCTCTCCCATGCTCGGGGGTCCCGGAGTTGCCGCTTCTCCATGAAGGTTCGGAGGAAAATGGCGGCCTCCTCTATGCTCCACAGTCTGGCTGCATGGGACGACCCGGTTCAGTCCCCGGACCTCCCCGTTTACCGGTCCGCCGCGACTAGACCTGCCCTGGGGAGGTGGATCTGCTACCCGCCACTTGTCCTTCGTTTGTCCCTACCATGCTGGGGCCCTCGGTTATGGGGCCACCAGATCAGGATTCGGACAATGCCATCACGGAGGAGTCTCACCCCTGTACACCTTGCAGGCGTGGACTTCCTCCGTCATCAGTGTCTGGACAATGGTCCCTTTACCCTGAGGTGTCCCACGTCCCTTGTCGGAGGTGGGGGACTTCCTGGTGGGATCTCTGGGCCTGTACAATGGCGACTCTGTTGGATCAGGTCAGCTTGATCTAGGCCAGTGGTGGCGAACCTCGGCACTCCAGCTGTTTTGGAACTACAAGTCCCATGAGGCATTGCAAGGCTCTGACAGCCACAGACATAACTCCCAGAGGCAGATGCATGTTGGGATTTGTAGTTTTGGAACAGCTGGAGTGCCAAGGTTCGCCACCACTGATCTAGGCCTTCCCTCCTCTATAAAGCCTTTGAAGGATGGCGTCGGGGGTAGTTCATGAATCCTTATTGGCCCCCGGAGACCGTGGTACAGGGACGTAGTAAACCTCCGGATGTCTCCAGGACCGGAATTCCTCCCTCCTCTGTCATTGGCTACAGGGGCCGTTCTGGTGAAGGACCCAGGAAGTGAATGTCCCCGACACGGGACCCCCATACATCTTAAAGGTACCACGTCCTATTTCCAATAAAGAATCCCCCCAGAATATTGGACTGTTGGGGTTCCCGGGGGCACATAGGGATTTCTGTACAATGGACCCGGCGAGTTTTCAACCTCAAATACAATGAACTCATCACAGGGAACTCCGCCCCCCAGGGGCACACAAGGTATATAGTATATACTTCACTCTGATAACATTCAATTGAAGCCCAATGATCAATAATCAATCACTACCCATAGATCTATACGGGGGAATATTAATGAGGAGGAGGAGCTCACAGCGCGGCCAAGTTCGTAGTTTTGATCGATCACCGGTGTTCAGAGCTGATCCGAGGGAAAATCTGGGCGGGGCATAGAGCAGCGTGATGACGCCATGAATGAAGCGTATTGCTTACTGCTGGGTCACCTGACCGGAAGTGTATATAAGCGAGGTGATGGGGGGTGTTCTGTAATGTGATTGTGGTCACGTGTCTTCAGCTTCCTCAGAGGTCACGTGACCGGAAGCGCAGATCTCACTGTGTCTCATTTTCCATCTCAGACCTTCAGGAATGTCTGCTCCTTCATCCTCGTCCCGGAGGAGGGCGGAGCCAGTGAGTTCCGAGGATGAGGATGACACCGACCCGGCTAATCTCCACACAGGTATTTTGTATCCATCCCACGTGACATCCCCCTCTGTACCCCCCATCCCACGTGACATCCCCCCCATGTGACTTCCCCCACATGTGATCCCCCCCC